TTTGCGAGAAAGACCCGTCAGAAAAATTCCTATATAATGTCTACTGCCATACCACGTTGAAAGCACCAGTTCTCGTCCGATCACTGGTTAGTACTTGGATGGGTGACCGCCTGGGAACACCGAGTGCTGTAGACTCCTTTTTGCTGGTATTTCCCCTTGATTTGAGAGAAAGACCCGTCAGAAAAATTACTATATAATGTCTACGGCCATACCACGTTGAAAGCACCAGTTCTCGTCCGATCACTGGTTAGTACTTGGATGGGTGACCGCCTGGGAACACCGAGTGCTGTAGACTCCTTTTTGCTGGTATTTCCCCTTGATTTGCGAGAAAGACCCGCCAGAAAAATTCCTATATAATGTCTACGGCCATACCACGTTGAAAGCACCAGTTCTCGTCCGATCACTGAAGTTAAGCAACGTCGGGCTCGGTTAGTACTTGGATGGGTGACCGCCTGGGAACACCGAGTGCTGTAGACTCCTTTTTGCTGGTATTTCCCCTTGATTTGCGAGAAAGACCCGCCAGAAAAATTCCTATATAATGTCTACGGCCATACCACGTTGAAAGCACCAGTTCTCGTCCGATCACTGAAGTTAAGCAACGTCGGGCTCGGTTAGTACTTGGATGGGTGACCGCCTGGGAACACCGAGTGCTGTAGACTCCTTTTTGCTGGTATTTCCCCTTGATTTGCGAGAAAGACCCACCAGAAAAATTCCTATATAATGTCTACGGCCATACCACGTTGAAAGCACCAGTTCTCGTCCGATCACTGGTTAGTACTTGGATGGGTGACCGCCTGGGAACACCGAGTGCTGTAGACTCCTTTTTGCTGGTATTTCCCCTTGATTTGCGAGAAAGACCCGCCAGAAAAATTCCTATATAATGTCTACGGCCATACCTAGTTGAAAGCACTGGGTTCCGGCTTGCTGTTTATAGGAGAGATACGTGTTTCATTTCGATCACTATAAATCCAATGTAATCCTGGAGTTTAACCTGCAATTTCTACCTTATGATTGATTATTACAACAAAGAAAACATTGATTGACATTTTGTTGAGAAGTATTTTTGTTTATAGAGGTTTTTCCTTGTTATTTGGGCCTTTTGGCCCGGCTGTTTAAACAGTCTATAAACTATATTAACAATATGGCGTCTAAACCTGATGTGACGCTACTTGTTAAACGCAATACCGTAAAGGTTCAAATAAATGATCATCAAAAGTATAAAGCTATTGAAGTCATTAGATTTATTGAAGATCAGCTGGGTGAAGATTCCGTTTTGGCTTGTGTTCCTGGACGTGATTTCTTTGATGTTACTCTCATAAATCACGATGTAGCTAAGAATTTAGCAAATGATGGTTTATTGGCTGATGGAGCGGGTTTTCATTGCAAATTTATTGAATCTCGCATCAAAGTGGTTTCATTTATGAATATCCCTGTTTACATTAATGATAAGGATATTTTATCAAAATTAAAATTTTGGGGTGTTATTCCTGTTGGTGAAATTAAT